CGTTACTTTTACTTTTTCCTTTAACCTTTTAGTTTTGTTCGTTTCGTTAACGTAACGTAACGTAACGACATCTGTCAAGTTTAAGTTTAAGTTACTTAGTCTCTCTCTCTCTCTCTCTCTCTCTCTCTCTCTCTCTCTCAAAGAAACACTCCTTTGTCACGCTGAGGTTCACATAATTGTGTGTAAATAACATTGCTATTGTTTTTTTCTTTTATTATCTTTTAACATATAGGAGGGAATTTGAGAGGAGGAGTAAACATGGAGGCCATCAAGCACTACAACAACCTCATAAATGAGTTGATCCTTCATGGTAATAATAAATATGATGCCAATTTTATATGCAGAGTAGTATCATGCAACGGCTATATAACAATATAATGAAACAATCTTCAAAAAATATGGTAAAATTTATCTGTTGAATTTCAATATTTAAATATACACATTTTTCATTTTAATGAATAATTACAAAAAAATAAAATTTGAAAACAAACCCAATAGAAATTTTAAGCTCAATTAGTATATGTCATCCATTTTAATGAGATGCTTAGATTTAAGATTTTGTTTTTCTTTTTAAATTTTTAGATAGCTTCAGTATCATTATTTAGATTAACAATGTTAAAAAAGAAAAAAAAGATGAATTTGAATGTAAAGGACTAGACCCTGAAATTCACCAAATGAATGCTCTAGATTCATTGTCAGAGGGGACTCCCTTTTACCATATCTAGAATGCAAATTGAATTTTTTTTATTTTAGATTGATTATTGTGATGAATAGAGTGTGTGTGCAAAATTTAAGGTCATACAAATTTCACAAAGATGGTTTTTTAGAAGTGTGGTTTCATTATACTATATTGTTACGGTGACATGAAATTATTCCCCATCTTATATATCTTATTTTCTATTGTGCGCGCATTATACAATTGTGATTGCATACAATGAGACGATTACCTTTAGTAGACAAAAGACACACCCTAAGTTGAAGTAAAATAAGATGAGCTTTGAGCGTAAAAGCTAGTATATCTTTGACTGCAAGATATAAGATTTACCATTTAATAGCTTAGAGTGATTGTGATCTTTTTGTATCAAGGGTAATACTTTTATTGTATACTCTCTCATGTCTATTTACGGTATTTCATTATAATGAGCTGAACAGGAATCAAGCCTTTCGTGACATTGTTCCATTGGGACGTACCCCAAGCCCTCGAGGATGACTATGGAGGATTCTTGAGTTCTAAGATTGTGTACGTCTCTTAACCAATATATTTAACGAAAAAATCTTATATAAATGCGAGGCTCTAAACAATCAAAATAGAGTGCACCTCAAGAATTTTACCAGAAGAGGTTATTTTGATGCTCAAATATCTTCAAATTGATCATCTTGACATCACGATGCACGAACATGAGAAAAATATGGATTTGCATCTTGTAATGCATTTTTAGACCATCAATTTTTAAGATTTTCAAGTTTTTATAGATCTGCTCGATCTACACTATTTTCTAAGCTTGAAATTTTAAATTTAGAGATGAAAATATATTTTAAGGCTATCACAAAGATTTTCAATATTGAAAGCACATTTCTCGACACTATTTGAAGGTGTGCTGTACTTTGACTGTTTACAGCGTCAGTGTTGTGTGTGGACGCTCTAAACCCGATGGGTTAATATTTGGTAAATAAAGTACGAGAAATAAAACATAAAATACACACCACAAGAACACACACTACAGGAACACAAAGATTTACGTGGTTCACCCAAGACCGCTACTTCCATGGGTACGGCAAATAAAAATCCACCCACTATATCAATGAAAGTTGCATCAAAGATTTTGGAATAAACCTCGACAAAATATCCAAGTCGAACAAACCCTTTTTAAACCTGCTCTCCCAAATGGCACCATGCCGATCTCTCATCTCTATTTCATAACTAGACTAGGAAGAGAACAATTTTGAGAGCAAACATGACTTTATCTCATTAAAGGGAAAACCACCCAAAATCTCCATGGGAACCGCTTTTCTACAAGAAATCAACATCTACCCAAAATCTCCATGGGAATTGCTTCTCTACAAGAAACCAACCTCGCATTCTTCAAGAGTTTTCAAAAGGCACCATCAATGTTTTTCTTCATAGGAAGCTCTCTTATCTAAGAGGAAATTGCATCTTATGTACAAGAGGCGTTATCTCCCTCTCTCTCTAGAGGAACCACCATTCCCATATGGTGGCCCAAGTAGGGCATGTAAATTCTCCGCACTTTCATCTCATATATATAAGATTAGGAATCCATAGTAAATATGAAACTTTTTATTGATTCTACATATATCTCAAAACCATGAGATAAATCCAAGAGTCCTGATCTTTTTGGATTTTTATTTCTTTTAAGAAACTTACCATTATCAATCTCAATCCCACATAATATGAGAATATCTCAATCCTACATAATATGGATCAATCTTAAATATGGGTGATTTTGGATAGCACCAAATCCTACTCTCAGGTCTATACAAAATGCATCCCATATTTAAAATGAATCAAAAATTTCTTTTCAAAATTTGAGGTAAATATAAAGTAGGTGTGTCAATCCTCCCAAGACTAATTTTGTCAAAATTTCACTTTACGAAAAATTTGTCCAAAAAAATTTTAATTTTAGATATGGATCTTGCATCCAAATTTGTGTAGGTTTATTATCTAGACCATCATGTTCACGGATCATAGAGGGAAAAAGCCTTAAAAGGAAGCCCAAGTTCCATTCTTTCACTCTATTTGGTCAGCTTGAAATTTTACAATAGAAAAGAGAAGACCTTAACACTCATGTGTGCACGTACTCTGGTGGAATTAAACTGCATACTTACTCCCTCAGGGTAAAGTGCCACTTAAGATAATTGTAGGGGTTCACTTCAAAATCACCACATGAGTACCAAAAAAAAAAGTTTCTATAATTCAATTTAGGATGACGTCAGTTCAAAATTTCAAGTTAATTTTTTTAGTCATGTATAGAGTGTGTATGTTCTTTTAACCGATTTCAAATAGTTGGATAAAGCTCAGATGATGATTGTAAAATGTGTATGTTCTTTCTATCTCTTTTTTTTTTTTTAAAAAAAAAAAATTTGCATTGGTTGAGGGTATGGATTGATTCTAGGTCAAAGGCATTACATCCCTGAGGTCTGCAGTACAAAAAATACTCCTAGATAGGGTTTTACCAGAGGGAGTGTGAATTGTGAATGACATGACCTAGAATGATATATAATCTCTGGGCTAAATCAACATATGCATTGGTTGTATAGGGATGACTTTCGAGACTACTGTGATATTTGCTTTAGAGAGTTTGGAGACAGAGTGAAACATTGGATCACAATAAATGAGGGATGGACTATTAGTGTATTGGGGTACGATGATGGTATATATGCACCAGGGCGTTGTTCAATAGGGGTGGGAAATTGCAGTGAGGGGAATTCAGCAATAGAGCCATACCAAGTTGCCCATAACCTCATCCTTTCTCATGCCAATGCTGTCCAACTCTACAGAAACAATTACAAAGTAAGCCCCTCTCTTTGAACTTTGTAAAACCAAGGCGAAAATTATAGATACCCCCAAAACCAATTTTTTAGATATTTTTATCGTTCAATACTTTTTTTCTCATACCTTAAACTCCAATACTATTTTTCTTATATTTATCATCCATTTAAAACGTCAACAAGTTTAAAAAAAAAATGCCATTACCCTCTCTCTACATAAACAAAAATCTACCCATGTCGGCTTTTTGAACTCTCTCATTCTCTCTTTTTACTCTCCTTTTACTCTCTCTGCACGTCATCTCTCTCTTTTTTTCATTCTCTTTTTACTCTCTCTACACGTAATCTCTCTCTTTTTCTACTTGCCATCTCTCTCCTCGCTCTACCCATCCCCTCGCATATTCTCTCTCTACCTCCTCTCCGTCTCTCCCTCCTCTCATTCTCTCCCTCTCGCTCTCTCTGCTCCCAAAAACTTTTTAGTCTAGCACACTAGGTGCTGGTTTTTTTAGTCCGGCACACTAGGAGCCGGACCGCCTTAGAGGGACAAAGGCTTCTTTGGATCAATACACGGTCCAACACCTAGTGTGCCAGACCGTCTTAGAGGGAGAGAGGCTTCCCCAGATCAAAACGCACATTGGGTTGCGGTCCACAACATTTTTGTGTCATACTACAAAAAAATTTCAGTCCGGCACCTAATTTGTTAGACCACCTTAGAGGTACAGATGGCAGGTGGAGAGACAGAGAGAGATGGCAGGTAGAAAGAAAGCGAGAGGGTGGGTCTTGAGAGAAACAGAGAGTGAGGAGAGAGATAGCGGGTAGAGAAAGAGAGAGATGCATGCAGAGAACGAGAGAAGGATAGAAATAGAGAATTCAAAATGCTGACGTATGTCTAATTTTTGTTTGTGTAGAGAGATGGTAAAGACATTTTCATCTTAAACTTGTTGACTGGAGAGTAAATACAAAAAAAACAGTGTTGGGGTTTAGGATGTGAGAAAAATTACATTGACAGGTAGGATGTTTAGAAAGTTATTTGGAGGGTATCTATAATTTCCTTAGATAAAAATACAAAGGATCTCTGTTCATTGAAAACCAATACAAAATGGACCCAGTTTCTATGCAGCCAAGACTGCATATGTAGAAATTTGGGCCTATTAATAAACCTATTTTTGAGATGGATTTTTTGACATGATTTTGAAGGACATGTAATTTCAAAAAAAAGGTAAGTAAATTTTAAAAGCTATAAATAATAATTCTAATAAAAAAACATTCAGACCATTAGTTGCCAT